TCCTGTAGAGTCTATGAGGAGTGTGGGGATACAGCTCTCAAGTCACGTACACTCCCGAAGGAGTACGAGACCACAGCTCTCAAGTCGAGTAGATTGCCTGAGGAGTATGGGACCACAGCTCTCAAGTCATGTAGACTACTTGGGAAGTACAGTGTTACAGCTCTCATGTTTATGATAATAAAACAGCAAGTGCAAGCATATATCGGGAATGGGTTGTGTTGATAGTTGCGAATTTTTACGTAAATGCGCATGAAACGCGCTCTCTTATAGACAATTCAAAAATCAACTGCTGAGAATATGTAAGGGAAGCAACTTAATTTATATTATTATTACTGTTTTTAAATGCTCAACCTGCAATTTTGAAAAAAAAAGAAAATATTTGAACACCCCAAAACATTCCTTCATAGATGTTTTAAAACATTGTGTCTATACACATAATTAATTTTATTTAGTGTCAGTTTAATTTTTCTATATAGAGCGGTTCCTGAATTTGAAGTTTCGTTTTTTTTTTATTTTCACGTTGGAGTATACTTGTATTGTGAATTAATATTTCTCTAAAACTGAATGTGCAAAGGAATGTTCTTTCAAATGTTGTGCAATAGAATTTGAATTCGACATGTGCAAAATAAGCAGTCTTGACAATGTTGTCGTTGTGAAACCAATATATATATTTACGTTTCTGTAAAAGATACAGAAGATTTAAATTGCTATAAAATGTTGGTCTTCTGCAAAACATTAGTTGACGGAGAAGAGGTGTTGCGCATGATTAAGTTGGTTGTATTAAATTTAGTATAGTATATAATTAGTATTAATTTTTTTTACTGAGTTCAGTGAGGGATCTAATAGTTCTTATGAGATTTTAGGATGTTTTCATCTTTGAGTGCATTTGATTGCGTTAAAATAAGCGGATATGTTTATGGATATTTGAAGAAGAATTATATTCTTTTAGGTTAATGTTAATATTTCTGATAGCTCTTTTAATTTGTTCATCTACAATGTAATTAGAAATGGATTGGTCGCTCTTATATAAGTCAGCTCTAGAGAGGAGAAACAGAGTGTCAGCGACAGCAGTCCAGATAAGGTTACCCGTTACATACCGTTGGACTATAGACATTGGATATTGTTTCGTACTAACCAACGTTCGTTCTACTAATCACTCTATTGTTAATTGCTTTTACAAATATACCTTGTATTTTCCTCTACAACTGTGTTTGTCTTGATTCATACACCGACACGCGGGAAACTCACAACATCTCAACAATTATTAATGCTTTTTTAATTCCGCGTAGAATTATCATATCCCAAATACCCAGTACTGTTTATCAATTAGGCAAAATTATTAACCAACTCATTACAGCATACATACGTAATAAATACAGCAGTAAATCTAAATCACTAATTACACCAAATCTAAATCCACATAATTAATATTTATCCATCTATATATCTATCTCTCTATTTCTGTTTGTATTTCTTACAGATCTTGTTTATTCATCAGTTTACATAGCTCTTTATCTATATCTTCAGTTACTGATGTAATGGAATAACCTATCACCCCTGACTAAACTATAGGTAGTAACTTACCTATAAGTATCTCTAAGTCAGAGCTAAGCTGGTTGAACTCTTTGCCTTTGGGCAGAGAGGAACCCGCATGAAGCTATGCCAAATAGCAGAGTCTCGTCCGGAGAGGTAGGCCAACCCAATCCCGTCTATGCGGGGTCTACGTGGATTTTTTGGCCGAGCCTACGAGCAAGGGAATCCCACATTAAATTCGGCCTTGTGCCACATGTGACTGCGTGGGGAAGTTGGTAGATACTCTAGCTGAAGTCTTTTCAGCTATGCTGTCGAACTCTCTGCTTCCGATCAAAGAGGAACCCGGACGAGGCTATGCCGAAGGGCAGAGTCTCATTCGGAGAGGTAGACCGACCCGATCCCGTTGAAGCGGTGTCTACGGGGATTTTTAGGCCGAGCCTACGGGCTCGGGAATCCCACATTAAATTCAGCCTTTGTCCACATGCGACTGCGTGGGGCAGTTGCTAGATACACAAGCCGAAATCTTTTTCGGCTTTTCTGGTCGAACTCTCTGTCTTCGGTCGGAGAGGAACAAAGACAAGGCGATGCTGAAGGGCAGAGTCTCATCCGGGAAGGTAGATAGACCCGATCTCGTTTATGCAGGTTCTAAGTGTAATTTTTGGCTGAACCTATGGGCCCAATTGACCCACATTAAACTCAGCCTTGTACCACATCTACCCTCGTGTTTGTAGGGGGAGGGGGGCTAGTAAATATTGACTAGCTGCAATCTGTTTCAGCTGTGCTGTCGAACTTTCTACTTTCGGCCAGAGAGGAGCATGGAGGAGGCTATGCCGAAATGCAGAATCTCGCTCGGGGAGGTAGACAGACCCGACCCCTTTTATGCGCGTTTTACGGGGAATTTTTGGTTGAGCCTACGGGCTCGGATTATCCCACATTAAACTCGGCCTTGTGTCACATCCTACGCCGTGGGAGGTTGGCAAATACTACCAGCTGGAATCTGTTCCAGTTGTAATGTAGGACTCTCTGCCTTCGGGCAAAGAGGAACCCGAACGAGGCTATGCCAAAGGACAGTGCCTTTTCCGTGTAGGTAGACAGACCCGATCCCGTTTATCTATCTATCTATCTATCTATCTATCTATCTATCTATCTATCTATCTATCTATCTATCTCATTCCGTTAATATATATCTATTTATCTGTCTTCGCTTACTTAATTAACTCTGTGTGTGTGTGTGCCTATCAATTTTTTCATATCTATGTACTATTTACCTATCTGGCTATCCATCTATGTAATTCTGTTAATATCTATCTATCTATCTATCTATCTATACACACACACACACATATATATATCTACCTATTTGTTTTTCTTACAGCACATTTATTCATCAATTTATCTATCTATATATATGCCTATATCTTCACATAGATATCTCAATATGTGTTTCTTTCATATCTATCTATCTATCTATCTATCTATCTATCTATCTATCTATCTATTTTTCCCAAAATCTCTATATCTAACTACCCATCAGTTTTGCTATATGCTTATAACTGAAGATTTAATATATTCTCAGCTGAAGTGTTTCTTTTCCATTTTCCCCCATCGTCTTAAAAGATATTTTACTTGCAGGTATAGCTTCGTGGTAAAAGAATAAAAATGACACTGAAATTTCATCATGGAACTCACACTGCAAAGCCAATTATCGTTCCCGTATTAATCCCAAAATAAGTAAAGCTAACCCTCGACCTTGTTCCTGTATAACCTTTAAGGATTTAAGAAAAATTCTCATATATTTAATTATGTATTTTTCACACGACACACAATATCCCACCGTGCTAGTAAATCTTTCTTTGAAGCATCTGTCATACACACCTATATGTGAAGAAAATATATATATATATATATATATATATATATATATATATATATATATATATATGAAGAAAAATATACTGAAAAAACAAACAAAAATCCTAATATGCGATTATGCTGTTTTAATGTTTAATGTCAACGTCGGACGTTTCGGTCTAATAGACCATCTTCAGGACATGTTCATAAAACATAATTAACATACACCATATACAATTCAACATGAAAAAGACGATGGGCATAAAAGCAATACCAATCCAAACAGATAACTGGAATCTTTTATAAGATCAGCGTTCCGTTTAAATATGATCACGTCGTCGTCACGTGGGCGACGTTGTGAAAACGTGTTCCTAAAATTTGAGTATTTTAAATGAAAAGTGAAAAGAATTTTATTTTGATCTAAAACTTATATGTACGTTTGTCGAGCATTAATCTTGCTAGAAAAGGGGAAATATTAAAGAAGCCAGGTCTAGTGTTCACCGTGCATGAGACACCTATATGTCTACCATTCGTCCATGCTTAGAATATTGCTGCCATTTATGGCCTGGTGTTCCTGCTATTTATCAAGAGGTCCTTTTTAAAATTCAAATAAGAATCAGCAATATTTTTGTCAAACTAATTACTGTCGTCTCAACTTCAGTCATTTTACCACTGCCGTTATTTAACCTCCCTGTGTCTTTTCTATAAATATTTTCATGATAATTGTTCCGATGTGCTTTTCGCTATGGTGCCTTGACTCTTTGGACTTATGCGTTGAATTAGACTAGCGTTGCGGTCGCATCATTTTACGGCCAAGCTGGCTAGATGCAACCGTAAATTCTATGCTAACAATTTCTTTTTCTTGCAGGTCTTGCTTGTGAATATCTCTTCCGGCTTGTGAGATGCTTTCTAGACTAGTTTGATCTTCAAAAAGTTGAACGCGATACCAAACGTTATCTATTGTCGTCTTGATTTCTTTTCTTTTGTATTCGCTTCTTAGCAATGTTTCTGTTAGTAACTCTTGCACAACCAGTAACTCATTGCGTCTCAGTGGCTTTACTGCCTTGCTTGGGGCGAAATTAATTTAAAAAAACAGACAGAAGAAACAAAGAATAATTTTTTTTATTAAATACCCATACCAAGAACGGAAAGACCTCGGTGTAATGGTTAACAAGCTTGTCTCGCTAGATTAGTTCATTGGTTTATGAAGGCTTTTAAATTTGAGAATGATCATGAATATTTATCATAAGATGGTTCAAAGGTTAGTCAAAGTATGTGGTTGAAAGGTCAGTTAAAACATTATGGCACTTCGTCTTCTTCACATGTTTTGACTGACCTGTGTGTGTGTGTGTGTGTGTGTATAGTAGGCCGATGAAATAAATAAACAACAAAAGTAATAATACTTATAATAAAACTAATAATATTTAATGTATATTAGTAGACCTTTTCACCAAACTAAAGCGTGATGAAAAAAGATGTTAAACAAAATTTTGGGACATGTCTGTGTCCTTTCCCAACGAGAAATACAAACAAATTTTCAAATTTCTGCTAAAATTCCATTAATTTTCATGTTATGTACATCACTTTCTCTCCAAGTATATCGAAGTTCTGTTGCATTATAATAGATAGATAGATAGATAGATAGATAGATAGATAGGAAAAGACCAGAATAGATATGAATAAACTGAGATAGATAGATAGATAGATAGATAGATAGATAGATAGATAATGAGAATAGATGGATAGATAGGTACATTTTGAGAAATCTTTGATAGATAGATAGATAGATAGATAGATAGATAGATAGATAGATAGATAGATAGATATGTGTTGTCTTTGTTCAAAATAACTGAGAAGTAGGATGGTCATAGTTAGAGAGAGTATCAAAGGCAAAGAAGACTATGTCCTGATTACTCCTTTTTTTCTGTTCTTGCTTCTTAGCAATGTTTCTGTTTCTATCTCTTTCACACCCAGTAAACACTTGTGTCTCAGTGGCTTTACTGCCTTGCTTGGGGCGAAATCAACTTTAAAATAAAAACAGACAGAAGAAACAAAGAATAAATTTTTTTTATTAAATACCCATACCAAGAACGGAAAGACCGCGGTGTAATGGTTAACAAGCTTGTCTCACTAGATTAGTCCATTGGTTTATGAAGGCTTTTAAATTTGAGAATGATCATGAATATTTAGCATCAAGTGGTTGAAAGGTCAGTCAAAATATGCGGTTGAAAGGTCAATCAAAACATTATGCCCTTCGTGCCCTTCACATATTTTTTTGAATTTTTTATTTATTAATCCTACAGATTTTTATCACTTAAAAATTGTTTGTATATATATATATATATATATATATATATATGCAAAAATTTAAATGCAATTTCAATCATCATCTACTGTCGTCTTGATTACTCTTCTTTTGTTCTCGCTTCTTAGCAATGTTTCTGTTTGTAACTCTTCCACACCCAGTAAGCACTTATGTCTTAGTGGCTTTATTGCCTTGCATGGGGTGAACTCGATAAAAATGTATATATGTATTAGAAATGCTTACTTTTATCAATGAATTAATTCTGTAGTTCCTTATATTTTTTTCAGTTAAAGTTTCACAAAAAATATGGCCGTATGTTTAAGCTGAATTTTGGCCCCCTCACCAATGTCTACCTGGCTGACCCAAACCTTGTGGAAGAAATAATTCATTATGAGCTCTTTCCGATGGTATCCAGACTTTTTAAATTTAAGCGCAGTACTAGACTGGTGATGAGGTCCCATCAATTTACAGTTGAGTTGGCTAGATGTAACCTTAAATTCTATGCTAACAATTTCTTTTCTCACTTGTGGAACTCCCTTACGGCTTCATGCTTTCCAACCAATTTTAATCTTCCAAAATTTAAATGCATTGTCAATTGCTATCTATTGTCCTCTTGATAACTCTTCTTTTGTTTTCACTCCTTAGTAATATTTTTGTTTCTAATTCTCCCACACCCAGTAAGCACTTGTGTCTTAGTGGCTTTATTGCCTTACATCAGGTGAACGCGATTAAAAAATGTAGAAACAAAGATTTTCTTTTTATGCAATATGCCAAAGAGAAATTCTTTTAAACGTATTTAAAAATATTTTTCTTTAATTGTTTCAGGAATTATTCTGGCCCTTTTTTTTTAAAGCAATTTAATTTAAAATTTTAAGGCAATTCACCCCCAGCACGCAAGGGGTTACAGAGGATTGAGAACAAGAGTAAAGAGGCATTTTGGGGGAAAGGTTACAGAGAAGGCCAGGGAAGAAGTTCAGCATGTCAGGTGTCGATTGACATTACACTTGAATATTTGAAGATTATAGTCATCGGGGAAGCAAGTAAGGGGAAGGGAGTTCCACAGACGGGAAGTGTGGGAGAAGAAGCTGTTTGAGTAGAAGATACGGTTACATTTAACCATTTTGACAGTGAAAGGGTGGGACCGAGATGCCAGCCTTAATTCATGCAGTCCGGAACCAGCGAAAGTAACTTGTCGGGACAGTTGCCATGAAAATACTTGTAGAAGAGACAGAGGAGGCCACGACACGTCTGTGGGATAGCGATTGTAGACTAGGAGCAGATCGGGACCTATCATTTTGTGTATTCGTCTGTGGATTTTGTCGAGGAACTCGAGACATACAGCTGGAACAACAGACCATATATGACAGCAATATTCAATACAATTCGAACGATTTGTATTCCTGGAGTTAAGAAGTGCGTTTCTGTGTCAAATGTTTTTGTGCCGATACGATTACAAAGACAAATTGAACAGTATCAAAACCAGACATATTTGGAGCAGGTTGTACTCTTCATAGAAGTAGAGGAAACCAGTTTTGAAAAGGTTCAATTATGCCATATCCGGCATGTACTGTTCCTGGAAGAAAGTTTATCATCATCATTGGGATGCTGGTTCAAGACACCATTGCTAAAATAACAGGCAAAAAAAAAAAAAAAAAAAAAAAATAGAAAGAAAGAATTGAACAAGTAAGTCAGAGATCTTTATTCATGGCTTGTCTGCTCTTTATTCTATGCGTAATCTCTGGTTCGACAAAAATGGAGAAAAGAATTTAGAGCTAAACGCTTTTTCCACATTTCACAGATAACCCCAAATGTCCAAAAGAAAGAAAGAAGAAAAAAAAAAAGAAACGAGAAAAATAAAAGAAACATAAACATCTGAAAAAAGTCATTGTACGTTAGCCCATCGCAAACAACACGTGACCCTGTCGAATTTCCGCCTGTGGGTGGAGTACAGAAAGGTCGAACGTCTCCCATTGTTTGAGAAGCAAAACTTGGCTTTTATCTTGGATGCCTGGGAAGAAACCATTCACTGGGGGGGGGATTTTTATCTTCTGTCTCGATTTCATTGAAATAAAATCTACTCTTCTTTTATTTATCTTTTTTTTTAATTCTTTATCGACAATTCACCTCAATATTCTTTTTATATATCTACTATTATCAGTTTTCTTTGAGTTACTTACATATAACTGTTCATATTGACCAATCACAGTCTGTCCCTTTCTACGTTTCTTTCTTTCTTTCTTTCTTTCTTTCTTTCTAAATCCGTTTGTATCTTTGAGATATGATTATACTGAGGTATTTATTCATTTTAAATAATTTCACCCCGAGCAAGGCAATAAAGCCATTAAGACGCAAGGGTTTAATGAGAATTAGAGAATGAGAAAGTATTAAAGAGAGAGAACAATAAAATAACTCGAGTTAAGGAGACAGACGATAACTTGCATTTAAATTTTTGAATTTCAATGTTGACTGGGAAGCAAGGAGCCGGAAGAGATTTCCAAAACTAAGATGTACGACAGATAAAAACTACTAGCATAGAATTTACGGTCACATTTAACCAATTCAACTATAAAATGATGAGACCTTACCGCCTTCTAGTACTACGCTTATATTCATAAAGTCTAGGTGCCATATAAGGAATGTAATATTTATTTTGAAAATAGAAATATATAGCATAATGCCAAAAAGGAAGATAAAGAAGGCTAGTCATCATTCTGTCTTATCTTGAACGCAACTAGTTCCAATTACTGACCCAAATATTCCACAGTATTACAGTATTTACATTAGTCGGACTATTGTCCTCATCTTTGTCGCCATATTTGTCACAACGTTTCGGCCGTTGTACGCTCCGGCCTTCTTCAGGTGGTTGGAATTTCGAACTGAACCCTTTATTTCGATCGCTGCGGTAGACTGTTCTAATTCCACGTGCCATGTTTGATGGATGTCAGTTATCAGTTATCTCCTGCTAATTTTCCCTCTGAAAGTTCTCCACTGCCTTAACCAGGAATTGAACTCACCTTCTTTGGGTCTGTCACTGGATCTAACCAACGCCTTTATCCACTGTGCCATGTGTCCTTGAGTTCGAAATTCCAACCACCTGAAGAAGGCCGGAGCGTACAACGGCCGAAACGTTGTGACAAATATGGCGACAAAGATGAGGACAATCGTCCGACTAATGTAAATACTGTACATAATACCTCATCTCAAAAATATAGACAAACTCCACAGTATTACTTACACCAAAACAACATATTCTTACTTACCATTCTTACTACAGACGCAATAATAGCCCAATGTCTCTTTGAAATCTTAACTTGTCCCATAAGTACAATTTGTTTGGGCTGGGTTAGACAAAACGACAACCATAGAGGAAAGTTCGTCAGAACATTTATCATGAAAGTAGTTATAGAAAAGGCACAGGGAAGCTACGTTAGGGCGGTAGGAAAGTGATTGAAGACGAGATGCCAGGTGATGACTAATAACATTACAGATTCTTCATTTTTTTTTTTAACAGACTAAATGTGGCAGTAATATTCAAAGCAAGAATGAATGGTAGACTTATAAATATGTAAGATAGATTCAGGAGAGAAAAAAATGTCAGTCACGACACAGTGAACCAAATTTTCCTAGGGACAGATCTAGCAACTGATTCAATGTAATCTTTCCACTTCATCTCAACGGAAAACGTTACTCCGAAAATAATACTGTAAACAAATAAAACAAAAATAAAATGGTTTAAAACTTAGTGGTTACATACTGAAATTGAATTTAACAG